AGCCATGCAGTAAATAGATTTTACGTCAGAGGATATAAATATTAATTTTCCTGGAGAGATAACTGACGCTTACCATCAAATGGATAACTGAATAATTAAATGTTTCATCCTCTTCATCTCTTGTATTCTCTACCAAGTTAAGGAGATAGTCAAAAAATTGATCATCAAAAATGCCTGCAATGCATTGAAATATTTAATTAAAATAGGAATGAATTGAAAGAAATAATGTTATCACGCACAACATTGTCAAATATGAAATAAATTACTTAGTTCATTTTGTGATATACGCTGACCGCGACAAATTTCAAACAATAGATTCACTGCAATTTGTTGCACTCTACGCTCTAATTGCATATATTAAGGAAAAGGTTTTTTTTTTTTTAAAAAAAAAAAAATATTTTACATGTTGAACAATCACATATACAAACCTTTGTCTAAATCACAAATATGTTCGTCTAAATCACAAATGTGTTTATCTAACTCACAAATACGTTCCTTCAGCTTCAAAATAAAGCCATGCTCTTGAGGACTAATCATTAATTTAAATATCGTTGGATTATCTTTGCCCGAGAGGTACAAAATGTTATAGATCACCAATAATTCATTCAATTCGTTACGTGTTGTTGCTCGATGTATCATATGTACAATTATTATGTTAGAAAATGTCTGATACATTGGTGAATTCAGAAGCTTATAGAAGCATTGCGTTAATTTCGATTCTGTTTTCAAGTATTCATCTACATATATAAAATAAGATCGTTAATTACAGGTTATAACAACAAAAATAAACTGTATAAGAAGCAGATCATATCACCTTGAAATTTTGAGACAAAATTGATATATGCATCTATCGATCTTTTTGCAGTGTCTTGATTTTGTTGACCTTGGGCTAAAATGTCATCCAATTCTGGTCCAAATAAATTTGGTCAATTTGAAATGTAGGAAAACCATAAAGTGGAACTAACGAATATAAAATCTACTTACCAATCCAAAATTGTTCAGAATTTTCCAAGTGATAGATTATGTCGTCATGCATTGTGTGACAACTGGTTTTTCGAAGCGTAAAAGATTGTGAATAAGAATTTTTTTTATATTAAGATTTGAAAGGTAAGATGACATTTTTTTCACAGTCAAATAGTTAGTTGTTTGTTCTAACAATAGATTCTATTTAAAACTTTTTAGCCCACGTGAGGTTGTTGAATGATCCAAACAAGGTTAGACAAACCCCAGTTAAAGGCGAAAAAAATCGATAACTTGACGTGAAAAATTCAAATTTAATATTGAAATATACAGATATTTAAATTTTTCAATGCAATGACTTACCAAGAAAACTAAGTGTGAATGTATTAAAAAAACTATATAAAAAGTTCTATTAATTTCCTTTTCGAAAGCTACGAAGGGTGGAATTATCGAAAAGATATAAAGGATGAAACAGAGAACAAAAAATTGTAAGTTTATACCAAGCCTATTTTTAACAACAATTAAGAATTTAAGAATTTAGAGGATGGAAACAAAGGATGAAAAGACCGAATCATAAAGTTAATACTAAAATATTAAATGGTCAATATTGCCTTATTGGTTCATAAGAATGTTCCCGAAAATCTCCGCAACACAGCATAACATTTGGATATATCGATATTTAAACGCTAAAAAAAAATTCGTACGTACAAATCATGAATTTATAAATGCTAACGCATATATGTATTATATCACATGCTACATTAGTCACGTACGTACGTACGTCAAAAGTTAGGATGACTTCCCAAAGTTAATATGCGTCAGGATATGGATCACATAATCAATAACTATATATATATTAAAGATAAGAATACGTACTACATTGACACTACCCTAATAATGGAAGGTTTCAAGTGTTTGAACTACTTATACGTAACTGATTTACTTTATTCAAGATAGAATTGTTTGTTCTTACATTTTTCGAAGGTCAAAATTTCCGGCATATACGTATGTTATTTCTACCTTTCCCTTTATACGACCATAGTGTGCCAGATATGGGAGATCAGGCAGAATCAACCCGGAGCCCGTTTCACTTTCATATACTGAGGTATTTAATGCAAGTACAGTATAATTGCATAGGTATAGTGATGATCATTTAGATTTTTATTCATAAAAACCATACGTACGTACGTACAAAACACCATTTACAATATCTCCTGAAACAGCAAATGTACACAAATAAAATTACATTTACATACGTACTAGATTTCTCTTACCTGTTACTGTATTTTTTTTAACATACACAAATCTTTTTTTTATTTTTCTTACAAATTAT